GCTACGGAATCAAAAATAGTTCCGCGGAGCTGAACTGGATGTCGGAGCAAATCGAGCTGAAAATCGCGCCGCAGGGCCGACCGGGTGACAATGTGATTACGAAGCCCGCTTCTGCTTCTGCTGTTATTGTTGCCGACATTCCGGAAGCTTGGGAACGCAAGGCGGAAGTCAGTTGAAGCTTCTCCACACACACTTTCCTCTTCTTTTTTTGTTGTTGTTGTTTGTGTTGGTTTGTTTAAAATTGTGCTTTCGATTCAACTGCACGCCATGCAGGCTCCGACTGCGCGCTTAGTTACGCCTTTTCATTCCGCCGAAATCGCTGGTTTCTCACTTGGCTGCGCCGCGATGATGTCTGTCCGCGGGGAAGCACCTACAAGGCACACAACGCCGGCCAAAGGCGACGAATTTACACGGCTTCCTAATATTAGACACACGACAGCTTTGAAGCTGAAATGTCTAGGAGCGTATAAATGACCTCATTGGTGCGCGTGGAAAATTTTTAACGCAAAATTGAGAAAAAAGATGGGGGTACTGTACGCCTCACAGGCGTGTTGTGAGAAGGTTTAGAATTCCAAGTGTGCATTATATTTGATTCAATTGGGAAAGTTTGGATGAATTTTGACAGAAAAACGTATTGCACTGGAAAACGTTTTAAATTACTGTAGCTCAATTAATGTCTAAATTCAAATTTTGGTTGTTCTTTTTTGAAAAACATTGCAGCTTTAGAGTCACTAAGAAGGGGGTGCGCATGGTACTCAAGTAAATACCCTTATCCAAGTCATCCATTCATCTCCCCCAAGGATTCATCACTGACCTGAAGAGATAAGCAATGGTTCTTAGGCGAAGAATGACGACTGAGGGTGAAAAAAGGAATTTTTATAGCAATGGCTCTCTGAGGAGCCCCATGGACTCCGCGTGAAGTTCCTTGGGGCTCCGCGGGAGCCCCAATAACTTCACGAGGAAGCGAGGGGATAAAATTAAATGAATGCATATGATGATACTGTATAAGCAAGAAAATGAGGCCTGGAAAATATAAGGTGCTTAATAAGGGATTCAAACAAGATAACAACTTTGAAAATGATTGATCTAAGATACAGGTGTACTCCATCGAAGTACGTATAAGATTCCGAAAACAATAGCACAATTCACAAAATTTTGGGAACTTCAATAATCATTTCGTGTGCATCTCGAAAAAATGCCGGGGTTGGAAGAATGTCGGTGGGAAAAGCGCCCTTCGAAAAAAATTTTTTAATAGGAATTTCAAGAGAAAAGATACGATGTTGGAGAAAAGACAAAACAAAACTTATGCGAGGGAAAAAATCAATTTAGAAAATTCCGCAAATCAAAAATGCCCGAGGGTGAGCATACCTCCAGAAAAAATGGTACAGTATATGATTTTTTATCGAGTATTGGAAGCTCGAAATTGTGTTTTAAAGTACTGTATGTAGTTCATGAGTTTTAACGAACATTTATGCGTCACTGCGACTTTCTCTAAGGCATTTTCTTCACCCTGGCGTATACAGGTACTAAAATATTGTCACTAATACACGGTCGAAGGTTATTATATTACTTCATAAGTTCACATTTCGTAATATCCACTAGATTTCTGTATTATAGCCAGGGTTTTCTGGATGCAGCAAGCCGTCTAAATTTTTGATGGTTCATTGCGCCAAGCGTGAAAAAGTTTCCTCGAGCGGGATATTTTTCTCATGGCACGATGTTCCGGATGATCCGTGATTATATAAACGACGCGTTTGTCGGAAGCCTAATCCCTGTTTATCCGAGGAAATACTTATCTTATTTTCGGGATATACAAAATCCAGAAAAAATTCAACACCCATTGAAATCGCTTAGGAAAGAGCATAGAAAAAAGCGCACTCGAGTCCGGATTTTGCAAGTGTTGGAGGGGTTATTGAGGAAATAATGCATAGACTAAACAAGCGAAACCGTTTTTAATGCGATTTCCGGCGTCGGTAAACTCGTTTGAAATGGTGCAGGGCGAAATAGAGAAAAGCTGCTTCCACAGCGCTCTTATAGTGCTTTCGAAATTAAAAAAAAAATCGGTTTATTGCCAGCTGTAAAAGCTCAGTACCTCGTAAATCGGCGCAATAAATACGGGTTTCCGTTTATACACTGATCCTGCAACGGAACTGAGAATCCCTTTCCGTTACTCGATGTGCTATACAGTATTTCATGAAACTGTTGGGACGTTTTGCGCTTTGCTAAAGATGGAGGAAGTCAGTTTCGTACCATTTAAAATTTTAAATGCTGCGTTGAACAAGCGTGCAAATCAATTTCGTCGCGGAAAAGTGAGTGTAACGAATACGAAAAAAGGCCTGCATTCATTTTTTCATTTTGTTCTTACCAAGCATTTACCCTATTCGTCGTTTTGAAGGCCGAAAAATCAAAGCTTTAATAGCCTGACAGACTTTTTTTTGCTAAAAAAAAAAAAAAGAATTTCGCGGTTGCGATATGAGCTTTTTTCATGTTTTCTGTGGCTACGAAAAAGAAAAAAATGCCATGAATTTTCTCTTGTTTGTGTGTTTGAGTGGTTCGCGGCATTTAATAAATAATTGTTGAAGTTTTAATTGAAAGAAATATGTTACATTCCTTCATTCGTGAAAACCCAAAATTTGATTCAGAGATTACTTCCAGCAATCGTCGTGTTTACCGGACCTGAATGCCATGACTCAAGTGTATTTCGTTCAAGGGTATGCTATTTTTTTTTATTTTCAAGTTCAACATCTATCAACATTTTGAAAATTATTTCCCAATCGTGTTCCCAATGAGGCACGTTAGACTTCACTCTTCAATCTTCATTCTTGTTGGGGAAACGCCACGCGAAAACTAGTTATCATATAAAAAACCACGCCGAACACTAGGAATACCCTTACATAAAAAACCGCGCAAAAATCTTGATAAGAGTTCCAACCCTCAAAGGGAAGGAACTCACCAAAAACCAGAAATCAATTTCCGTTTCCCCAATCCATGGAAAACGGCAAAAACTTCACTTCGAATTGAACTCTTGAACATCGCAAAAATCTTGATAAGAGTTCCAACCCTCAAAGGGAAGGAACTCACCAAAAACCAGAAATCAATTTCCGTTTCCCCAATCCATGGAAAACGGCAAAAACTTCACTTCGAATTGAACCCTTGAACAGTGCAGATTGTTGTGAAACTCGCGAAATTCATGAATATTCTGTTGGAGTTCTGTTGAGTGTTGCAATTTCCAAAAAGAATACCTTTTTGTGTTATTTTGTTTGACAAATCTTAAAATACATTCAATCAATTTTAATTAGGTAAACCTTCGCGAAATTCATGAATATTCTGTTGGAGTTCTGTTGAGTGTTGCAATTTCCAAAAAGAATACCTTTTTGTGTTATTTTGTGGGACAAATCTTGAAATACATTCAATCAATTTTAATTAGGGAAACCAAAAGGTTCCCCGGCCTAGTCCCAGGCTGATTCTGTCTTTTATTTTGACAAATTCAAAAGTTTAATTAACAAATTTGATCCACCTGCAAATTTCTAACAAATTTATATTGAGGTAAGTTTCTCCCCAACAATTCTCTCAGCAAAACAAGTTTTGAGTTATTTGTGTGACCGTGATTTTGTGAATTTTAATAAGCCCTGCGAGACCTGAATCAGCTAAAGCCCCATCTCGAGCATCATGAATATTATAATAGCCATAGGATTTCTTTCACATGAGTGTAATCCAGACGTGGCCCTTTTTCTTTCATGCTTTCATGTGTATGTTCTGAGGCACACAGCGGATTTTCCGCCAGGATTTCCCGTGGGATAAAACGTCACTCAGGAAGTTTCCACGCGGCTCGAATGCCATGGCTTAATTGCTCCTACTACTTGAATGTGGCTCGTATGTTGATGCATCAATTAAGCATGTGGATAATCCCAGGCAAGATGGTTCACGATTTCCGGGAATATTTTTGCTCTCGTAGAATTATTCGACTTATTCTCGATGAAACGCAGGAATAGGGTAAAGAAGCTCTAAATATGGGTGTCCCAACGTTCGAAATATCCAAAAACCTTTTTTCGCGGATTGCCGAGAATTTCAATTCAATGCCAAAAAAGAATACATCCTCAAAGGCTCGAAAGCGACATAGCGTGACCCGAACTGAGAACTAACATTTCCGTTGGAAGAACAATAATTTTGAAAAATGTTGTTAAGTTCTACAGCGTATCAATTTTTCAAAGCATTGGAAAAAATTTGCTACCCGCTTTTATAATCGAATATTTTTATTGCAATGACAATTAGTGTTAACAGGTGAGATCTGGCTTCTAACTAAAGTTAAAGATCTTCAAACACAAGATCAGTTGGAAGCAGCGTAGGAAAGATTTTCGATGACATAATGCTAAAGTATACAGTATTGTATTTAAACATTTATGAGGACGTCGATCTTGAGATATGTGATCATTTTTGTAAGTTCAAAATTTGCATACAGTAGAAATAAGTTTTCTTATTCCTTTCATAGTTCATCGGGATTATGACAACCAAAGTCATGATCTATGTTTCCGTTAAATAGAACTGATAAAATGTCCTCTGAGTTGACATTTTTTTAAATACTGCGGATGACCCAAAAAGTTTTCATGAGTTCGTACAATACAATGTCGAGGGATAACTTTTTGTTCCCCCTCATATGAATATTTCAGTCTTCAAAAAACGATTTCAGCTCGACGTTTTCTTCAAAGGAAATGCATGATAACAGAAAGCCAGACAAAAACCATTTCAAAAAGTCTTTACACAAAAAATAATTAGATGTTGTAAGAAGCCATTAATTTTCATGCTCTCTCGGGACTCTATACCGTCATATATATTTTAAGTACCCATCAAGAAATTTCCGGGAGCCAAGTTTCAAGAGATTTTCATCGAGAACGGATGAGAAAAGACCAGCACGACCTTGTTGTCTCAGCGTAATGAGAACTCGAATCAATCATAGGCTTCACGAGCTTTAAAAAAAAAAAACCGGAAAGATTACAAAGGAATTCTTGCAGACTGGACAGTATTCTTGTTTTTCTTTCATCAGATTCCGGAAGGAAGTCACTCAGATCAAGAAGAAAGCCAAGCATGTGCAAATGGAAGACGTCCAAGATATAGCGAGATCAAATGCTCCAATAATAAGCAACCCTTGAAAATGAAATCGAAAAAGAAAGACAAGAGCGCATCATTCTCCTCCACCTCCTTCACCAGCACCCCGAAGCATGTTTGTCTTGTGAGCGTATTTGATCCAAGCGCAATCAAGCACCACTTCGGCACTGGGTCGTTGTGCTGGCTGCGGATTGAGTAAATCTCTGAGGGGAAAAAATAAAACATTGAAAATTATAGGAAGGCAAAGGTTGGCTCGTCGACGGAGAAAATGATGAAAAATTGTTGAACCTCTATAATTATTTGAGTAATCCTCAACCGTAATTGGCGAAGGACTTTTAACAAGCGTTCATCTGTATCATGACTTGGATAGTAGTAGCACAAAATTTACACGAATACATCGTGCCTTCTGAATGCAATGCATCCCGCAATCTTAAATATTTCAGGGCATAATGTGTCTGAAACGCTGCTTAATTCGTGGAAGTTGAAGATTTTGAAAACATATATACAGTTGAACTTAAAAATCGAATATTTCAAGTCCCTCTCTGAATTCCATTAAAAACCAAGCGTTAAAAACCTTAATTCGAAGGTATTACCGCTCAAACCTCCAGAACACTTTTTTGGAAGCCTTTCGGTCATAATTTTATTGACACAGGAAAGAGAAAATCAATAAAAAGGTAACGAGGTATTCTTAAAGGAATTATAATACAAATTGGGCAATGAAGCCCTGGCCTTGCAGGTGTTCAGCATCCTGCTTGCTCATTTGAGAAGTAATTTAAGACCCAGGATATCATCAATTATTAGAATTTCGTACAAATCTTTCTTTTCCCCCACAAAAATGCTCATTTCACTAATCCGATACTTTTTAAATCGATTTTCTTCTGGTCCCTTGAAGTTTGACTTGAAAATGGTTTTCTGTAAAAATAGGGGGATAACGTGCGATAAATAATGCAACTGTTCAGGATCGAAGACAAGACAGACCAGAACCAAAGAATTTGGTATTTTTCCCAGCAATATTGGCTATTACCGGACAACCGCCATTATAATGGGTGGAATTATTCCTTTTTCAGAAAATGCTTTGCTTAATTCTAAAAAACAGGATGATAAATGCGTGGGTACATTTGGAAAACATATATAACGCCCTCATCGTCCAGCATTCTCACAAATCTACCTGTACATACATCTTCCCAATATTAATCGGATGCCCTCCCGAATAATTCATGAAAATCCCGAGGGCAAATTACGCATAACTGAAACGTATGCAATTATGTTAAAACCACATTTGAAAAATGACGAATTTGTTGGTCATGCGCAGAAGGAATCCTGGCCAAGAGAAAGTATATCATTGTCTGGTACTGGAAAGAGTTGCAGAATCACCTGATCAGTTTTTTGCATGCAAAAGGCACGTGCAAGGAAGAGCCTCTCGGAAAGGACACGGCATATTGCAATTGCTGCTCCAGCAATTTCCCTGTGCTGCGATCACCATGGAAAGGCATCCTCGCTGTCATCATGATGTACAGAATACAGCCCAAGGACCACATGTCGTATTTCGTCGGGTCATACGGCAGTGCCTGGGGGAAGCGAGGCGCAAAATCAAATTACACATGTTGTGTGCAGTATTCATATACTGTACAGCCGCTGTCCGGCTCAATAAACTCACTCAGCTAAAGTTTCACTTGGTTTTCGAAAGACCAAAAAGATAAACACGAAACTTGCTGCTTATACTTATAAATTAGCAAATATCGTGAGAGGCGGGAAATTTGCCGGGAAGTAATCTAGTCCCTCTCATTTCTATGGAAAGGAGGTATTTTTGCTGTAAACTCAAGCAAAAAAGGGTAACGAGTTATTTTTAAATATTGAGAAAGGAGGATAGAGATTTTTCATCAAAGACTTGCCCACATTACGTCATTCTGCGGTAAAGAATTGCAAAAATTGTGTTTTTCATTCCTATTCTAACAAATTTGCCAAAAGATACTTTGATGGGAAGTTCAGAAGCAATATAAAGTTAAAATTCATTTCATTAGTGCTATTGCATAGCAACTATAAGCGGATTCCCTCTAGCTGCTTAAACGGATTT